TGGTTTAATTGTTCAACCACAACTTCCTATGCCTGAAGAATTGGTTCTCAATCCAGTTAGTGCAATAACAGCTTCTTCCAAGCCATTGAAAACATGCATTTTGTTGGGTCCACAACCTGTTGCGCTTGCTTCTGCCTTCGGACGCGCTTAGGGATTATAACCCTTACTAAGTATAATTCTCCTTTCTGTGTTGCCGGAGAAGAGGGACTTCCGCATGTCAAAGGCATACAACATTTCTTGTGCATATAACTCTGGCTACGCCATCCACAGTATTTTTGCGCAGAACCCACATCGAAATTTACAAAAAAGTGCATAGTGCAAACCGAATTTATTAAAAAAATATTGCTCGGAAATTTGAAACATTTATTTTAAATTAAAGTTTAATTTGTATGTAAAAGTAGATTCGGGTTATGCGTTTGGATACAACAACCGAAAATCATTGTACAAATAACTAAACCGGACCCAAGTTTCTCGATAAGGGCAACAAAGATTCTTTTTTGTTCATTTATATAAAGCAGTGGATAAAAATATAGGTTTATACGAAAGGCAAATTTATCTGTTTAAATGAGCGCCACTAATATTTCCTGCAAACACACATCGATTTTCATCTTTTATCTCGCCCCCGACACAGAATTGTTTTCGTACAAAATTACGCAAAAAAGCTCACCGTTCGTTTTTAGGCATGCCATCGTTACGAATTTCGAAAGTTCGAAAATACGATTCGGATTGCAGCATACTATTTCTACGATTCGTAGCAAAATCCAAATACGAAAGAATTGCAGAATAGGGGTGCTAATAACAATAACTCTTGTAAAACTTCGAAGTTTGCAAAATTGTTCAAATTATATTTTTTGTTTATGGTTGTAAACCGAATAAAGTGATTTGTGCGAAAAAATCTTGACCGTCCAATTTTGGGTGGCTCACTTAAGAGATTTTGACTCATAGCAATCTATTTACAGGAAAATCTAGGTATTATAAAAAAAACACATAAGCAATTATATACAATGGTGGTCAAATCAACCAAATTCATAATGATGTTTTTTTTAATTTGTTTATTTATTTATTTTTCGAAATATTTAACTAAAATTCAGTTCATTCCCTAACACCCACATAAGCCCAAGTTTAAAACTTTGTAGACAACCAAAAAATTCAACAAGTTTTCATGCAACTTTTTTCTCAGAAGTGTTAAAATTTTTTTGAGTATGTATTCAATTTTAGTTGTGGCTAAATATGACTGTTGATTTCCTAATATTTTTATTTTTTGTTGAGGTGTTCTTCCAAATATCGAATAAACCCAATTTATTTTTATAAGTAAGTAAACATACCTTCGTCAAAAAAAATTCTTAAAACCAAGCCACTTTAAACTCGCTTAAACACAGAAAACACAGTTTCAAACGTTTGAGAAAAATGTATTTCTCAATTTGATATCAAATGTTTTTCTCAAATGATTCTCAAATTGAAAACGAGGTTTAAATTTTACACTTGAAATTCATTTGAGGTTGATTTGAAGAAAGATGGCAAGCGTCAAACGATATAAAAATGAGCAGTTAAATAAAAAATTGTAAGAATAAAATTAAGATCAATTGAAAAAAAAAATAATGAATAGAAAAAAAATTTCAAAGAGAAAGCCCTCAAATAGTGTATTTGATGTTTGCACGGATTGAAGAAGCTGCAGCCCTTCAAGACGAATTTATTATAAATTACTTTATCTTAATCGTTTCTTTTGTTATGTGCATACATATGTACATCGCGAAGAAAGAATAAATATGAAATATACATTTCCTATAATAAATTTTATTTTCATATTTGAAGTACAATTGATAAATAACCTTTGAAATTGATTTGAGAGTTAACAATAGTCTCAAATGGAGATCAAACTCCCCTTTTTATTGAGAAAGCTGTAATTATCAAATCAATATCATATATATAATATTTTCAAACGTTTGACATTTGAGAAAGGCTTTGAATTCAAATCATTCCCAAATGTATATCAAACTTAATTGTTTGCTGGGAAACCATTTCAATGGTTAATTTACATTGAAAAAATTTACGACTTTAACACACTACGAAGCTTACGACATTTTATGAACACTCTAATTATATTTACCAGCTCTCAAGAAAACCGTCAAGAAAAAATTGTCATTCTGTTGCGTCACTCTTTCTTCAAGAAATAATGCAACGGGCATATATTTCTGTTGCAAACTTGGGTTGCTTTCAGCTTTTTTTTCAAAAAAAATGTAGGAAACCGTAGTAGAAAGCTTAGCAAATTTCTTAAGAACTGCGGACTGCCTTGACCAAATTTTACACAATAAAATTTCTTAGTCATTTTTTGTGCGTTATTTTATATGGAGCTTTTGCTCTTCGTGAGAGCTGCAAAATGGCCTTAAAGCTTAGTATCCAGCTCACTCGAAAACGGTCAAGAAAAAAATTTCCGTAGCCAACATGGGTTGTGTTGCGCTCTTTTTTCACAAGAAAACTTTGGAAAACCTTAGTAGAAAGCGTAGCAAATATCTTTAGAACTGCGTACTGCCTTCAGGAAATTTAACACAAAAAATTTTCTTTGCCATTTCTTGTACGTCATTTTAAGAGTACATGGAGTTTTTGCTATTCTTGAGAGCTGCATACTAAGCTTAAAAAAAGAACTAACGAAGAAACCCCAGATCAGTCAGACTATTATTTTTCTCTTTGTTACTATAAAAAGAAGCATTGTCATTAATTTCATCTTTGCGGAAATACATTTTTTTAATTTTTGGTGATATTTATGTGGGTGACAGACGACTTTTGTTTTGGCATTTAGATGGCAGACGAATTTTTTAAGTTTCTTATATGTCAAATGGTACGTACAATAGGTTTCGCGTATGCGGCTATGAATTTTTTTGTTTATTTTTTGCTATGATTGTAACCCCCCTGTAAGCCCCTGCCGTGGGCTGCGCCGGCAGACTTACAAATTAGTATTGTACGTTACACGCATACCTCATAGAAAAAAAATAAGCTTGCGGAAAGGGCGAAAATTTCTGTCGATAACTCCCAGACTATTATAGTATAGCATCGCTTCTAACAAACACTCTGCCGTCATCCTTAACAAACACTCTGCCGTCATTGTTAAATTTAAAATACTTTGAATATATGAGCAAACAGGATGGTTCCAAGTTGATGCAACATTTCTTACACAACCGGACCATAACGAATGCAGAGCTCTCTGGCTTAAAATTCCGCACTGATGAGCAGGGCCGTCGAATAAAACTCGGGCACCGAACTGAAAAATCACGGGCCCCTCCCTATACATAAATTTTGTTAATTTAAAAGCACGTGATCATTTTCTTTAATGCATAGAGTCAGAAACAATCAGCACGAATCGGAATTTATTTATAATAAAAGCCTATAACGAAGGAGCAATTACATTGTAATAAAATAACAAGAAGTTATGGTTCTGATATTTCAGGCCCCTTAAAAAGCCCGGGACAGGGGGATTCACCCCTTGACCCCCTCCCTCTCGACGGGCCTACTGATGGGTTCAGTTTAGCTTTCGTTGCTTCCTGTCCTTTGGGGTTGGCAGGCGTAGAATGCAAAGGAGATTGTGCGTATCGGATAAGAAGAGTTGTCATGTCTTCTCGCTTGCTTTACTATTTTGCTGCGTACACTAACATATACATATACATATGTATACATACATACACAATGCTAAATGATATAGGTATACGTATTTCTCTAACAAGACTTTAAGTGCGAATGAAGCCTCGCTTGCGTTTGTGACGCGTTCGAGCGATTAGTGGCTCTTCTTAACTTTTGTTATAAGAAGATCTCTATATATTAGTTTTGGGTTTTTCTCTTTTTGTTGTTTTACATATGTATGTATGTACCTATGCAACTATGTGTTGCTACTAGGGTTGGTGGGTTGGCGTTTCAATTCTCTATTTCATTTTTGTTTTGCTTCATTTAACTTGGGTGGTCAATGTTGGTGGTGCTGCTGTTCCTATTACTGTAACTGTTGCTATTTATTTAATTGTATTCAATGTGGGCAAGGCGAATTCAAACAAGGAGAGCACAAAGAGAGCAATAACTACTACTAATGTACAACAAACATTTTGACAATCATAACCACCGCGGCGAAAATGTCAGCTATTTTGGCAACACCGCCTTGTATGAATTCGCCTTGAATGTGGAAATGTGTACGCTAGTGATACTGGTGTTGTTGGTTTTGTTGCTGCTCCTGATGATGCTGTTGCGGGTGTTCGTGCAGGTGGGAGTGGGACTGCGAGTGCGAGTGCGGATGGGAATGATGATGTAGCAGTAGCGCTTGCACCGGCTGCTGTTGTTGTTGCTTGTGGCACTGTACTTGCGAAAGCCGGTGCTGTTGCGCTGCGTGGACACTCAAATATTGTTGGTGCTGCAAATGATGCAGCGGTTGGTACTGATGACGTTGATGATCGTGCGTATGATGGGCATAATGGGGGTGTGAATGGTGGTAATGGTGTTGCTGCTGCATGGCGCGTTGCATGTCCTGCTGCTGTTGTTGTTGGACGGTTAGCATCAGTGTCGGCGGCAAGGCGGCAGGTGGTGGTGTTGATATCAAAGCAGTTGGTGTCCTCGTGGCTGTTGATTCGCCCACATGAAGCTGAATTGGTAAATTGCTCGCGGACGCTGATTCCCCTTCAGACGCTGTTGATGTTGTACCAGTCCGCAAGCCACAAGCACCGAATGCGCTATGACTGCTGCTTGCACTGCTACCGGCAGGTGAGGGCGTGCCCACATTAACGAAGTCGTCGCTGCCGCCGCCGCTGGCAACATTGACGCTCGCAGTTATAGCAGCCGACGCGACGGCGGCTGCGGCAGCGGCGGCGGCGACCGATGTTGCAGCGGCTGCATTAGCTACCACAGCTGCAGCAGCAGCCGCGGCAGAAACACCAATATCTGGAAGTGGTGACCCGGGAAGCGAACTGACCGACGATGCTCCGGTTACGGCGTTGACTTTTGAGGCGGATGCCGATTGTGAGAGGAGCAGCGTAGATCACTGAAGTCGTGGCCAATAGTTCGTGCTGGTTAAATCGCTGGCGCTTTGTGCGGGTATTTGTACGGGCACGGACACGCCTGCAGAGATGACACCTGCAAACGTATGGTTATCTGAAATTAAAATGATTTCAATGTAGTAATCATAAAATATTTTTACATTAGCGCACTCGCCCTCTTTCATAATGATTATTTTGCGAACTTACAAAGTTTTCAGTGGTCAAGTCTATTTACCTGTACTACTAGACCCACTTGCAGGACCACCACCATACACTGAGGAATGCTGCGATGGGGGTTGTTGGTGCGCAGCAGCGGGATTGCAGGAAGAGCGCGCGTGTGCTGCATACGGAACGGAACCCAGAGACAGTGGGTCATGAAACATGTAAGGATAGCTATCGCGTTGCTGCAGACAAGTGGACGTCATAGAGCTCAGCGACGAGGTCATCGAGCTGGTGAATTTACAAATTTGTTAACATTATGTAATTTTTTTAACATGAGAATATACCGTATTTCATGAATGTGGGTCACTTACTTGTAGTTCTCCGCGATCGTAGCGATGGGCTGTGGTATCGATGAATACATCGTGTTGAAACCGGAGTTTAAGGGAAGGCGGGGAGCGACGGCTTGTATAGGCGGACTCACAGAGCTACCATGACCGCCGACATTGAGAGCGGCTGCTGCCGCTGCGTTACCCACTGTTGGTACAGTTGCGCCGCCACCACCACTTGTGCCGGGAAGTGCCGCGGCTGCAGTTGCGCTGGTGCCACCGCCGTTCGAGCCTTCCGCCGCGCTGCCATTGTTACCAGCCGCATTGACATCGGCTGCCGCACCTCCACCTACACCAATACCGCCAACACTATTGCCACCTGATCCACTTTGATGGCTGACCACTGCTGCGGCAGCTAACGCAGCAGAATTGGCGGTACTGGAGCGCCCACCGGAACCGCCGTTATTGCTTGTATGGTCGACTGAGCGCCGTTGGGTCCGTAGCTTTTCTTCACGTCGCCATTTTGCGCGTCGATTGGAAAACCAGACCTGTTGTAGAGAGGTATGAATTAATTGGAGTTCTGTTGTTAATTTTGGCAATAGTTTTAATGAATTAAAAGGAAAATACCGAAACGCAAGAAATAATTTAATGAACTAAACATTTAAATTAACGACGAAAGGAACGGAATTTAATTCCTATAAGTATATGTACCTACATTAAAGCGCAGTTACCCACGGACGTAAAAATGGAGAACGCGTCAGCTGACACGATCTATCTTATGGGATCTGCGAGTTAACAAAAACTCATCTGCGTATGACCGTGACGAAGACGTTGCTTCTTTCTCTTTCTATGAACCGCAAACTGGATATATTTCTATGGTACGTACACGTTCGTGGGTAACCGCGCTCTTTGCCCGACCAGAAAAAATGAAAGTGCTTCTTTTTTTTGACCCTCTTTATTTTTTAGCTTCCATTATGGCTAAAAACCATTCCCTGAAAATTCGGTACAAAAATATTAACATTTAGAGGTCTCGTGTGGATTATTTCTTAAAAATAATTTGCAATTTTTTATCATTAGTAATGTTTATAACCACATCTTTGACGAACAAAACGATTCACCGAAGATAATAGGACGTTCATTATATTTTAAGGAATTTCGAAAAAATCTTAAAAAAAGATAAAAAATTTCAAAATTTAATTTTAAATGTTGATGACTCCTTAGGAAAGATTTTAAATTTTTTTTCACTGGTATTATTTATAGCCACACCTATGGAAAACAAAATTAGTCATCGGATATTACGTTCATTATGTATTGAGATTTAATGACAAAATCTAAAAATGGAAGAGTTATTTTAAGATTTTGAGGAAGAGGCACAAAACGTTCACGAGATACCTCTAAATTTTTGCACCAAATTTTCAGGGGGAGTGTTTAACCTAACGGAAAGTAAAAATTAAAGAGCGTCAATAAAGAATCGCTTTAAATTTTTCTGGTCAGTCTAAGGTACATGACAAACTAAAAGAAATGCTGAACGGAAGAAATCTAAGATGGAGGAGCAGTGAATCCAAATTATTCAGGGTATTCATCAAAACGCGAAAATGCCTCGTAATCGCGTAAACCTCGTATATAAACCATATACATATAAGTAAGTTTATGAGGTTTACGTGGTTACGAGGTATTTACGTGTTTAGTTGAATTGCACTATTTTATTAAAAAAAATTTACACACCTCAAATTATGAATTTTCGTTACTACACATTCGCAGTTCAGGGAAAGTCTAATAATAAATTGCGACTAATAGTAGATATAGATTGTGCGAAAATAATGAAAAAATTTGCTGAGTTCGAAAGTGTTCGGCTGAGAATTCATTTGAATCTCATTGAACGATTTACATATGTATGTAAATACTTTTTTTAATGTCTAAAAGTAATGTGCTCGATGTTCTTATGCCATAAAAAACTTTGTTTCAGATTCAGGGAATTATATGAAATGCAGTAGAAACCGCTTACGTTAAAAATTTTGTAATAATCTGAAATTACCAACGTATTAATAAAACCATTTGTACATGACTTCATTAGGAAAGTTTTTGAAAGAAATAAGAAACTTTCAAACATTTTTTTTTTTCACTCCAACAGAACTTTTTCCTACAATTTTTAGAAAGAATCGATCCCCCGAAATAATCTTATTTGCTATTTATTCGAATTGACTTTTTGATGCAAATTTGCTTTACACTCCACAACGCATCGCCTGGTAAACTATTATAGATGAAATCCCTGTAGTTCGCCAAAAAATTGGCTGTATAGTTTAACTTATGTTACAATGTTTTGTATTCTGTGGGTGAAATTATTATATTTTATACAAGGCATTATTGAATCATGCATATTTGCTATGCTTTTGGTTCTGTGCATAGCACAATTGAATCTTTTGTACGCAGGCGTACCATTTGAGCGCCCAGTTAGTGGCGCACAATTATTCAAAATGCACGAACTAACCCATCGGGATACGACTGAAAATTTCATTTTTTTTACTATCGAACAAAATTAAACTAATGGTGATTCGTTTCTACCAAAAAATGCCCCTTTTACGATTCTAAATTAAATGCAAAGGGTGAGAAAACTTTGTGTTCGTTTCCTAAAATGTCACACTCTTGTAAGGCAAAAAAGGCACATTCTGTGCACTGTGAAGCTTCGCACCGTCACACTTATGATTGGGAATCCAAATTTGTTTACCTCTTATAACTCATTCCGTGTTTTTTGGTGGCACCTATAATTTTTTTCTGAAGTTTTTTTTTGGGAATAATTTGACTTTCAAGATCAAAGTGGTAATTTGAGTATATCTCAAAACTAGATGTTTGTTTTAATTTTTACTTGTCTAAATGGAAAGCTTGACTTATTTCCCATAGTATATGTAAATATTAGAGTGGGATATTGTGTAGTTTTAGAGAAAATAAACTTCAAACAACCGCGCGCGCACCAAATGCGCGTGACCTCTAGTGACCACGCTGCGCCATGTATGTATGTATGTGTGTAGTAGAGATTATAAAAACGATAATTGCTTTTATTCATGATAAGTTTTATTGTAATACATGGTCAATTGTCATCAGTATGTAATTTAAAATTCCCGCTAAATGTAATAGCTCCAAACTTGACGCTAGGTGCAACTCTAATAAATAAGATTAAGTAAACGGTTTTTATATAAAGGATATTTATTTATTTATTATTAAAAGGGTATTTATTTTAAATACATTTTTATTAACAAAAATTAATTCATTTGTATGTGGTTACCAAGACGAGTTTGAATAATAATGAAAATTTTCACACAAAAATCTCTTAAATCTAAAATTTCCAAAATTACAAAGTTGAAATGAACACAGTACAATTAAAGGTAATAGCACAAATACAAACCCTGCAATACTCCCCCTTCTAGAGAATTAATGTTATATAAATTAAAACTAACTCGTTTCTTATTTGATTCTGTGTTATTCTTTATATCAGTGTTTGTTTCAGGTGTTAGTTTTGTTTCAATAATTTCTGGCTTAAGTCTGTCTATCGGAATTGTTTTAACTTCATTATCAACTTCAAGTTTAAAATATTTTTTGTTTTTTTTCCACAGCGTTATAAGGTCAGTGATGCCAGATTGTGGGTAATTTCCCTATTTGAGGGATATTTTGCATGAAAAATTATTAAAAGGGAATAAAGGGACATTTCATATAAATAAGGGATTTTCTTTTGACGCAGTTATTGTTGCATAATTGATCAAAATTCAAGAATATTCGACATTCTTACGTAATTAATCGTTCTGAAGATGTGATGTGGAGTGAAATGGTATATAATTGTTAAAAAGTATAAGGACAATTTCGAAAATTTTCTTACGTTAACCAATTCAAGCGCTGAGTAAGAAAGAATATTTTCAGTTGTAACTGGTGTTTCATGTAAAAAGCGGAACAAATTATCTGATGAAATGTTAAATAGCACATGACTGTGCTTCAGTTTTTAAGTCACCAAAAAATTCTTTTAGGCCCTTAGTGAGTGAGCAAAAAAATGAATGAGTGAAAAAAATGCAGAAAAAGGGGTTTTTTCTTAACAGCGGTCGGCCCTCGGCAGGCAATGGCAAACCTCCGAGTGTATTCCTACTATGAAAAACCGTTTCTCATAAAAATACACTCGCCATTCGGAGTCGGCGTAAAACTGTAGGTCCCTCCCCTAGTGTGACAACATCAAGGGGACCGCCACAAATTGGAGGAAAAGCACATATGTGTAAGCGCCAAACTATTATTATTATTTTATATGAATTTTACTTCTTACTACTGAAACATGTACATATATGTGACCTGGTCTACGGAAAGTGGGCTTAGGTGTCAAAAAATCAATTTTCACTTTTTGGTTGATTCGGATGGAAGATGAGATGCTTTTTCACGTGGTGAAAAGCAGAAAATCCTAACTNAACACTTACTGGACCAACAACAACACTTACTGGACGTCCGGCGCGGAGAACAATTAACGAGATAATGAGAAACTGACGAAACGAGTTGCTTACTTTTAACAGCTTTTTCACAGAAAACTAGTTTTCGCACGTAAGCTCCCTTTTCGTAGACCAGGTCACATATGTTTAAGTTCGTTGGGAATTTTGTGGGATAAATTTTCAAGATAGTACCCACATGAGGGATTTTTTCCCCATTTTCGTGGGATTTTTAACAGAGAATGTCTGGCATCACTGTATAAGGTCCTTCTTATGGTTGTTGCAATGATCTTTTATTAATAACGCGCATAAAACAAATTTTCAAGTCTCCAAATTCTTTGGTATATATACACCAGTATCAGAATTCTGATTTAAATTTGAATTTACATTTTTTAAATGTTCCCGTAAATTGCCCAAAACTTCAGTTGGAGAAAAATTTTCTTCAGATGGAACCACAAGTTCACTGGGTAGACGTAAATTTAGCCCAAAAACCATCTCATATGGTGTGGCTGCAATACTTTCTTTATACATCGATCGTAAACCAAGAAGTATTATCGGTAGCTCATCATACCAATTGTTGGTTAAATTTCTAGCCATTATCGTAGCTTTCAACTGCCTATGAAATCGTGCTATCATACCTAATGTGACCAACCGTACTTCTTTCAGAAGTACAGTACTTCTTTTTGAGCCGTTGTACTTCGTACTTCGAAGTACAGTCAAGTGTAGTTCTTTTTGCAATATTTTGTTCTTCCCAAGGCACATTGAACAGGTAGTATCAGTAGAGCAGCTGATTTGATTTTTTTTTTCAAATTATTCAGTCTCTAAAATGTCAAATATTTTTAATTTCTTCCCACAAAAAATATAAATTGTCTAAATCTTTTTGTATGTGAAACCTTTTCTCATACAAAGCAAGCGATTGAAAAGCAATGGCTACTCAATCAAATAGAATAAAAAGATATTAGAGAGTTTGAAAATTCTGTGGCGAATCTTACTTTCATCTGTGTGGATATTCAGAAACGACAGTATCGATGGAATAGTAAACATTTTCTTATCCGGGCAACATCCCAGTGGGAAAAGTAGTAATGCATTCCATG